TGGGGATTGAACTCAGGCCCTTGTGCTTGCCAGGGAAGCACTTATTCCACTGAGCAATCTCCCCAGCCCAAGGTTTGGGAAATTTTTAAAAATAACTTTTTATAAATAATGTTTTCTCTTTTTTCCCTTTTTTCTTTCTTCCTGGAACTCCTGGTTTGATCTTCTCCATATCTTATCTTTTCTTTTTTATTTTCCTTTGAACTTTGCTGTTCTTTCAGGGTGATTTCCTACACTTTATCTTTAATCCTTTAAATGAGTGTTTTGTTTCTTAAATGAGTGTTTTCTTTCTGGTTTTTATTTCCAGGAGCTCAGTTTTTTTTTTTTTCTTTGACTATTCTCTTTTAAAGAACATGTTGTTCTTATTTTGTGCTTTCAATGTGTTATTTCTACAAGGATTTCAAATGTGAGTAAGACGTTTTAGTTATTACTGATGACATTTTCTTCCCTCCTGTAGTTTCTGCTTTGTCCTGGTTTCTTTCCTTTTTGTCTCTCTTCGTTGGTTTTAGTCCCTATTTTCCCCTGAGGCTATTCTCTGTGGCTATTGACCCATTTTTAAGTGTGGGTGTCTAAAAGCCTGACAAGATGCTCTGAAACCAGGGCTGGAACTTATCAGTTGTGGAATCTGGTGTAGGATGATCTCTCTGGGCCTTGCGTTGGCCAACCTGTGATGTCAGTACCTTTAGGGCTTTCCTCTCAGTCTAGTCAGAGTTCTCCAGGAAGACACTTAGCCTTTTCCATGGGTAGTAGAACTGTCCAGTCTTTTATGGTTGTCAAAGCTATTGAGCATGGCGCCGTAGTCAAAACCCGCCAAAACACAATTCCCAGGCTGCCACCCTGGATCAATTAATCAAATTTATGGTAGATGAGAAGTGATTATCTTTAGGCTCTTTATATATGGCAGTTATTACTGTCATGTGTGCTGATGGCAACAGTAATTGAACCCTGTATTGTAGGGCTGATACCCTTACAGGTCTAAAAATGCTGTATAATTGAATGTTTTCAATTAGAATGAGTTAGGGGCTGGGGAGATAGCTCGCTGGTCTAAGCACCTGCCTGGCAAGTTCAAGGACCCGGGTTTGATCCCTGGTACTGCATGCTGGGTGGCGCAGGCCTATAATCTCAGCACTGGGGAGGCTGAGACAGGAGGATCACTACAAGTCTGAGCTGCATAGTGAGACCTTGTACCAAATAAATAAAACATTAAAAGAATTAAATTAGAACAAGTTGAATATGGCTCTTCTCTGTTCACCTGGTTCTTTTTCTTTTTGGACACAGGGTCTCTCTGTGGTCTCACCCTGGCT